GTTGTTTAATCATTTCTTGTTCATGTCTTTTTGTGAATGATATTTGTCATTGTTGTTTGAATTCATCAGATATCATGGTACATTGTTTTGCAAATTATCCATTTGTAATATTGGTTCTTGGGTTAACTAAGTTGTTGCACTGTTCTTTAATACAGTTTTTTATAAGTTTTGACTTAAATCTTTTTGGGATAGAAATGTTGGTAATTTTGGTACATATGAAGATACTGTTTCTGTTAGCTTTTTTATAGTTAATTTTGGTGAGGCTAGTACTATAGTTATCAGGTGTGGTAAAGCGTCTAGTAATTTTATGTTCCCTAAATCTATTGATGGTGTTTTTGAATGTGAAGATGTTATTTGCAGAGTATATTTTAGTGAAGATGGTGGTATATATATTCTTGGGTTCCACTGCCTTCTCCTAAGTTTAGATCGGATATGTTATGTTCTTCAGTGTACAGTGTTTAGTATTGGTTTGGATCAATAATATTTTGATTTTCGTAGTATTTTTTAAAGAATTCATCATTTTTTTGTTGATATTCTTTATCTGATTTTATACTATCTGAGTCTTCATCTTTTATTATGTTACTTTGTTCCTGTTGTCTTGTTGTATTTGTTTTATATGATCAAATCTTTTTGTTTCCATCATTAGATTGTCAAAGTATCTTTGACAAGCTTGTTCTCATTTCTTTGGATTACTGTTGCTATTTGATTCTCCTACTAGTTGCTGCATGACCAGTTGTTTATCAGCTATTGGCATATTTACAAATTGCGATAGTTGTATTTGTATAGCATCATCATATATATATTGGTAATTTCTTTCTCATTCAGCTATTTCATTTTTGTAATATTGTTTGAAGGTTCTTGTTATTCTTTATGCCAGTTTAAAAAAGTATAAATCTTTTCTCTAGGTGTTTCATTTTTTTGGATTTCTCATATTTCTTGAGATAGAGTTGGTATGGTTAGTATTTGGTGATATAATTCTTCTAGTTTTGTTTTGGGTATCCGTTGGATTGCCTCATATTCATTTTCTATATTGGTAATTTCTATTATTAATTCTTCTTGATCTTTTACAAATTGTTTATTTTGGAATTCTTGTTCTTGTTTATGTTTTATTTCTTTTATATTTTTGTTTAGTAACATTGTTATATTTTTTGGTATTGTTGGTGGTGATATCTTTTTCTTTTTAGTTACTTTTTCAGTTCTATATTTGTTTAAGAATTCATTTATTGTTTGTAGTGTTCTTTCACATTTTTGTTCTTTAATTCTTTTTTGGGATTTTTCTTCTTTAGGATCTTGGTAGTGCTTTCTATCTTAGATCATTAATCGATTCATCTGTTCTGTAAGGTCTATTATTTCCATATCTGGTTGTAGATTTTTTGATGTATAGTCATCAAGCAGTACATCTATTCGTTCGTCAATTGATGCATATAGTTTTTTTGTCTTCTGCTATTAAATTGCCAGCATATTTTCTAAGTGTATATACTTCAGTTATTTGTTCTTCTTTTTGTTTTTTCATATTTCTGGATGTTTCTAGTATAGTTGCTTTGGTATTAGAATATTTCATTATCATTTCAAATATTTCTTGATGTGTATGTCTGAGCCAGAGCCAAATACTGTAGGCTTTATTATTGTACATACTCCATCTTGTCTATATATTGTTCTTTCTTTCATTACATTGTTAATGTGTATCAAATAGATTTCTTTTCTATATTTGTCTAAGACCTCTTTATAGTCTTCTATAAATCTGCCAGCTCCTGTGGCAAAATAATGTTGTGTGTCAAAGCATAGTTTGACTCATAGTATCTTATTTCCTTTTTTATCTTCAAAGTGTTGTAATTCTTTTTTAATGCTTTTCTTTATTTGTATGAGCTCTTCCATATTAGCTTCATAGCATTTATTTGATGCAGAATTTTCTAGTAATACCATTACTTTGGTTTCTTGTATTTTTCTAAGTATTTCCTTGAGGTTTAGTTTTATTTGTACTTTTTCTCTTGCATCTTTACCTGTATTTGATACACCTATGTGTAATACATATGTTTTACTTCCTATTTGTCTTGCGTGCTTTATCTCTTCTATTATTCTGATTATTTTTCAGTTAAATTTGCCGTCATATTGGAGTTTATTGTTTATCGATAATCCCATTGATGCATGTATTACAATTTTTAATTCTGGTATGTTATTTTCATATTCTTCGAGTAGTTTGATTAATTTATAATCATTTGTCAGATTAGGTTTGTCTTCCTTTAGAGTTATAAAGTTTTTTATATTTTCATCTAAATAAGATTGTTGCATTGGTATATAAGTCATAAATGTTTGTATTATATTACTCCTAGTGGTTATTACTGATTGAACTATTTGTTCTGCATTTCCATCACAGGTAACATCTATATATTTCTTTTGCTTTAGATTTAATCTACATTGTCTAAGAAATATATTGTATGCATTGTTTTCTGAAGCAAGTTTATTGTGTTCAGGTTGTTTCTGGATACTAAGGGGATTTAGTTCTTTGAAGATTTTATTTTTCTCTTTACTCGTCAGCATGGGCTTTAATACACTTTTCCACTTTTTCGTTATATTAATTCTATAATGTGGGTTTGATGTATTTATATTTTTAGAGTTGATTTGTTTTTTGGAGATGATTTTGACATTGGGTGCCTTTTTACTATTTTTTTTTGCTTTTTCTTTTGCTCAGCATTATAAGCAAAAGACAGGTTAGTGGCATTTGTACTTAGCATTTCCTCAGGCTTGGAGGTCTTGACTTTCAGTGGGTTAATTCTGATAGTAGATCCTGTATTGGCACTGAAGTTGACAACATATGCTCGTTGTTCAATGTTACTTCACTTGAGTGGGCTGTTAGGTACATTTGCATACCTGATGATAATTTTCATTAATTATGTATAGGTTTTCCGTGAATATGGATTTGGTCTGTTTTATTGTCTTTGAGTATTTCTAGCTGTTTTTGTAATTTGTTTGAGAGTATTATGTATTTGAAGTCTTTACTTAATATATCTATTTTTATATTTTTGAATAAGTAGTTGTTTATTTTTATGTCTACGATTGCTTTGCTAATAGTTTGACTTGTGATCCTACTGTGTTTGCTATTGCAGATTTGTTTTTGTATACTAGTTGAGTGTTTTTCTTTAGTATATTGAAGTGTTTTATTTCCATTGTTGTATTTGTTGATTCTTT